CATGTCGATGCCCTGGCTTGTGCTGGCGTAGACCAGAATAGCCAAGGTCACATTTTCTCCTCAGTTCATGCTGATGTTCATTCACCATGATTTCCCTGCTCACTGCAGGGGGGTTGGACTAGATGACCTCTAGGGGTCCCTTCCAACCCAAAACATTCTATGATTCTATGATTTCAGCAGCAAGACACGAGGTTGCAGCGGGTTTTTTTCCCACAGTCCTTGCATTTGGGTGTTGTCTTCCACAGATCCTGACTTCTTATCTCCGTGTGCATGTGGAGGTTCCCTTTTCTCTGTCTGCAGTGGTTGCTAGCTCTAACTTCACTTCCTTCCTCACGACCTGCTGCTGCCTTCTGCTTGGCTTTTGTTGTCACCAGGGGTTTTCTTGGTTGTTTTATTTTTTTAAAAAACCACCATGTCGCAAGTCACTTCCCAGTGAAAAAAAAAAAAACCAAACCAAACCGCCTGTTCCAGTATCTCACCTCTCTCTGAGTATTGTTGTTCCTTTTTTTCTTGTTTCTTAGGAACATTTCCTTCGGGTGGAGCTGACGAGCGAGGCTTCGAAGGACGGGGCTGCCCTCACTTGTTCTGTGCCGCGGTGCAAGGCAACGCTGCAATCCGGCTCCTGGCTGGTTGTGAAGAAGCTCCCTTTGACTCATGTACGTCCCCTCCCTGGGCCTTTGAGATCACAGCTCTGAATCGGGAGCCTCCACGAGCTGCCCCAGTCGCTGGAGAGGTGGCTGTGCTCTGTCACTGTTCTGAGCTGTCACTCCGGAGAGGGACAACCTCAGCGCTGAGCTTCAGTGGCAGTTCCCGAGCAGGGAACGTCCCCGAGCTGGATCTCATGTCCACAGCTCCTCAGCCCTTTGCTTCTGCTCACAGCCCCAGCTCATAACTGAGGGACGACTTCCTGACCGCATGATTCAGGGTGGCGGTGCAGTTCCTGCAGATCCACTCCAGCCTTGACCTCTCTTCTGAGACTAATTGTGGTCTCAGATGGGGCTGGTTTGGGGTTTTTGTTGCATCAGATCTCATTTCTGACTCTCAGAGCCTCTGCCGAAGCCATCGAACGTGGTTGGCAGTTCTCTGGAAGTGACAAATATGCCTTTTGGGTCCAGTTTTCACTTCAGTCCCACCTTCTGGCTTGGGGGTTGATCCTTGCCCAGAAGGCGCGGTGAAGGCCGAGTTGCCTGAGCGCTGGGATCTGCAAGCACGTAGTAAATCTGGTGGAGCTCCATGTCCACAACAAGAGATAGCGGCTGGCTCGGAGCCTTCAGCAGGGGACACGAGTGCTGAGGTGGGCAAAGCCTCATCCTTCACCGGCAAAAACCTGCACAGGGACGTTTTGGTTGTTGCAGTTATTAAACAAGCTGTCTCGTAAGGGCTTTCCTTGCAAGGGAAGTGGCAGGAGATGCTTTGGGCGCATCATTGCTCTCTTCCCTGGATGTGAGGAGGTTGCGTCCGAGGTTGGAAGCCTTCTTCCAGCCTTCCTCTTTTCTCACATTTCTCTTTTTCCCGCAGAGCAACGGCAGCAGGGACGCGGGTGGCTACCTTTGCCACGCTTGCACGCGGCAACGCTTTGGCTCTCTGACGCCGCTCGTCTTCATCCCAGCGCTTCAGGAGCAGCCCACCCAGCACTAACGAAGCCCTCCAGCTCCCCAGAGCCCTCGCTGCGCCCCGGAGCCATCCTGGGCACAGGACAAGGCCTTGTTGTCACATCCCAGCTCCAAAATCAGGTGGATATTGGAGCGGGATTTCAGACCAGCTCTGAGAGGAACCCTCCAAGCTCTCGGCAAGGAGGTGTGAGACCTGTTCTCAAGCCTTGCCTTGCCCACCAGGAGCTGGTCGGCACGGCCTGCATCACTGCACAGAAGAATATGCACTATATATATGCACTATATATGCACTGTATCGGACAGGACGGCTTTTTTTCTGAGCATTACTCAGGTTCCCCTGTCACCAGGTAAAAAACCTCTAATGACCAAACTGCCAGGGTATCCCTGCTTATTCCATCGTGTCACACCTCAGTGAAATCCCTCTGACCCGCTTGGAAGAAGAGGAAATGCAACGTTGAAAAGTATCTGAAGAAACACTTTATTCCTAGAAATGGACTTTTTCCTGGCACCTCTTTTAATGGACAAAAACTGTCAGCTCTGGGAGGAAGTCGTTAGTCTCTCCCAGCTGAATTAGTTTTCCTTACTTGTAGCAGAGGGGTTTCCCCAGACTCTGTTTCCCTTCTTCCTGCAGCAAACCCTAACTCTGAGACGAACTGGAGAGCGTTTTTAATGCTGAAATTAAATTTGTAACAAACAAACAAACAAAAAAGCCTTAATGCTTCCTTTTTCTCTCTTCCCTTCTGTTAAGAAGCTGTCCTGGGTTGCATTCATTTACCAGCCATCGCAGTAGCAATGGGGCAAGCAGCGTGGTGGTCTTGCCAGATTGGTGTCTTCTCCCTTTGAAGACACCATGGCTCATTGTCCCAGAGCCCGTGTCATGCGGAGATCAAAACCAATTTTAGAAGAGATCTGCTCTTGGACATGGACCTGGAGCCGTGAGCCTTGCCTGCTGGAGGAAGCTCGTGCATCCTGTTGATTTCCGCGGTTATTCATTGAACAGTAGCTGCTTTGCTGGCTCACCTTTCACTTTTGAAGCATTGACTCCAGAAAGGCTTTCCCTGTTCTGCTCACCTAAGCGCGAGCAGAAGTTCGCTCAAGACTTTGGAATGTTGGATGTAACCGCAAAGCTCGGTGCAGACTTTGGACCAGGCACCTCCAGCGACCCCTTCCAGCCTCACCTGCTTTCCAACCGTCCCATGGTACGTTGGGAAGAGACAGTGCCGCTGCAGGAGGGTTTGGTCCGTCACACATCCAAAGCGTTGCTTCCTCCAGCTCCAGTGGTCCAGAGCAGCAGCACAAACAGGAGGACAAGACCCAGCAGTGAGGAAAGGATGTGGAAATTAAGTCATTAGATACCTACTGGTTTCCAGCTGACTGCTAAAACCCCTTTTGCCATCCAGCCTGAGCGATGGCGGCTGCCACCTTGCCATCACCTTTCGCCTCTGGAGGACAGCAATGCTGGTGGCCAGCGAGCCCTTGCTGCTGCAAGAGACGGATTTCACCCAACCCAGCTGCCGTCTGTCCCCGCTGTCCTCCCCACCATCGCAGCTGCCGAGGTGCCCAACCAGACAAAAAAAATCAACTGCTGTGTATGCATTATTTTATACACAATATATACACATTATTTTATATATAATAATATATACACATTTATACATAAAACAGCGCCAGTATAAAGCTGCCTGTTCTATAGCAAGTGGGAAACGAGTGGATAACAACTGGTGATGGACAAAAGGAAAACGTGCAAAAGAAAATAATTCCTCGGTCATGTTATTGCCTTCAGTCTTTGGTAGTGTCTACAGTGAAATCGCTCCTGCCGGCGGCACCCGGGGTCGGCGCCGAAAGTGCCTCCGAAGGATCCCTGAGCTGTGTACGAGCACCGGCCCTCTGCAACCGCAGCAGGATGGCACCGGCACCCTTCGCTGCGGTTGTGGGTTCCCCGGCAAATGGCTGAAAGAGAGCAGGAAGGGGGTAAGGACGCAGCGTGGCTGGGTCGCTCGCTCTCCGTCTGGTCACCACTTTCTGGTTTCTGGGGCAATTTGGGGGCAAAACTGCTCTAGGAAAGGGGCTGGTGTGCAGCTGGCCCAACTCTGGCCTTGCTGCTGACCAGGGGACAGGAGCTACTTGGGGCAGGGCAGCCCAGCTTCACCCCCAGCACCCAAACCCCCTCCCCTGCACCTCAAACACCCTCCGCTGGGGCAGGCAGCCCCCAGCCCGCTCCCTGCCACCCACCAGCACCCACGGGACTACCTCCTCTGAATTCTGGCTCCCGACACAGAACACCCACCACCACGCCACCCTGGGGTGCTCACAGGGCTCACCCACCCCCCGTTCAGCCACATGATGGGGCACCCACGCACCTTTGGGTGCTGGAGCAGTCTCATCCATGAGAATGGCTCGGTCAGGCTGGGAAGAGCAGCCACGTGTCCCTGGGGCGAGGATGCTCCACGTGGAGGGCGGCTGAGGACAGGGATATGCTCTGCCACACGCCGCTGCCGCTCAGGGAAGTGTCTGGCTTTCCATCCAAGCCCCAAGAATCCTCCGGGCTGGTGGGTGCACCGAGTTGCCCGGTGGTGGGTGCTCAGCCCATGGGGAAGATGCCGGGCGGCAACATCTCCTCGTTCTCAGCAGCGGGAGCCACCATGGGTATGGCCACCACCCTGTAGTCCTGCCTCGCACGCCTGTGGAGGAGAGAGGAGCGTCACCGGCGCCCAAAGGGCTTTCCCTGGCTTTCAGGAAAGCACAGAGGCCGAGGACAACTCATCACAAGGGTGGAAAGACCCCACGAGGCTCGGCACACTTACATTTTCATCCTCCTGCAGCAGCAGGCCACGGCACCGGCAACCACCACCACCACCACCAGGAACACTGCAGGGGACACACAGCAGCCGATGAGCATCTTCCAACGCGCGGCCAAGGGCACAGCCCGGCTCAGACAAAACAGCTCCCCAAAAGAGCCAAAACCACTTTGTGCGCATTCGCAAGGTGCCCTCCCCGCCCAGGGAGGAAATTTGGGTGCTGCATCCTTCCCCCCTTAGAGTTATTGCCCACAGCATAAACGTCCCACAGCCCCGAGGAGGGCTTTTAAGCTAAAAAATAAAGAAAAGAAAGCGCCTCCTCTCCTTGCCAAATTAAGCTTTTTGCCCAGCTTACCAATGAAGGAGGCCAGGGTCTGGATGGAAACTGGAAAAGAAAAGAGAAATGGAGATTTTTAGCTGCAAAGCCAGGAAAGGGGGGGATGCTGGGGGGGGACCCTCACTGAAAAGGGGGTTGGAGAGAAGGGAAAAATGCATTGAAAAAGGAAAAGAGCCTTTGCTGGTTGAAGCACAGCCCAGTTGCTATCTCCCCCAGAGAGGCAGCCTGACCTGTGGCATGGTCCAGGGGGGCAGCAGGCAGTGGGCTTGTCCCCAGGGCTGTCCCCTCTCCCAGCGTGGATGTCTCCAGTGGTGGGGGCATCTCTGGTGGCGCGGATGTCTCTGGTGATGGCCCATCGGGTGGTGGTGGCACGGGTGACCAGCCGTCAGCTCCTGACAGCCCAGGCGTTCCTGCTGGAGAGGGACTGGAGGTTGGGCTGGCAACGGTGGTTCCTGCTGGGTAAAATGGTGTAGAACCTTTTAATTTAGAATATTAAAAGGCATGCTCCAGGTACCACCATTATTTCAGTGCTCAGCTTTGGGCAGGTCGTGGCAAGGACCATACGGTCCATCCAGCGGCTACAAAACAGCATCATTTCAGGCAATTAAATTAATTTGATCACGCAATTGAAATATTTTGCTTTCCACACCATGGTGGTTGTGGTTTTACCATGGCCGCAATCACAGCAGCCCCAAACCAACCCCTGCGGGATGCGTTTGCCCCTTCCTCACCCCTCTGGGTCGTCGTCTCGGTGTGCGGTGTGGTCGGGAGCTCAGGGTTGGGAGGTAGTGGAGGTAGAGCTGGATCCCCTTTGGGAAGACACAACACAGAGACACCGTCAATGGCAGCACCCATGCCACCCCTCATCCTCCTCTGCCACACCGGTGATGGAGGTTTCACAGAATCACAGAATCGCAAGGGTTGGAAGGGACCTCAGGAGATCATCTAGTCCAACCCCCCTGCTCAAGCATGTTCTCCTAGAGCATGTTACCCAGGACTTTGTCCAGGCAGGCTTTGAATATCTCCAGAGAAGGAGACTCCACAGCCCCCCTCCAGGCTGAACAAGCCCAGCTCCCCCAGCTTTTCCTCGTAGGGGAGATGCTCCAGTCCCCTCATCATCCTTGTTGCCCTCCCCTGGACTCTCCCTAGGAGTTCCTCATCTTTCTTGAACTGGGGAGCCCAGAACTGGACCCAGTGCTCCAGGTGGGGTCTCCCTAGGGCAGAGCAGAGGGGGAGGAGAACCTCCCTCGCTCTGCTGGCCACGCTCCTCTTGATGCACCCCAGGATCCCCCCCTCCCTGGTCCCCATGGTGTCCCGGCTGCCGAGCGAGGGCTTACGGATGCATTGCAGCGTGGTGTTGGTCCAGTTGGGCTTGGTGGAGCCGTCAGGGAGGATGCATTGGATAAGGTTGGAGGTACCGGCTTTGCGCTTGTAGCCCGGGTTGCAGGTGTAGCGCAGGCAGGTGTTGAGCAGCGTGTTGTTGCCCACCTCGATGTGCGCGTTGGCCACGTCCTTGGGGCGGTTGCATCGCGCTGGCACTGAGCGAGGGGGGCACAAAAAAAAAAAAAAAAAAAAAAAAGATGAAGATCACAACAGGGAAGTTAGGCACCCTCTGGCCCCGGCTCGCTGTGCTGAACAGCACCCAAAGGGGTCAAATCCTGCCAGAGGGGGTGGGTATTGGTGCTGCCCCGGGGCTGGGAGAGCCTCAATCCAGCCTGCAAAAGGCGGCGGTGAGATGGCTGTGCCTGTGCATGGGGGATGGAGAAGGGCAAAGCCCCATTTCCAGCACGTTTGTGGTCACTTGTAGCAGCTCTTCCGGCTGATGAAGCTTTTTCGCAGAATTTCAGCCCCCTGCAGGGACCATCCCAGGACGACAGCCCTGGTACAATCCCACCACCAGCTGCTGCATTTTGGCTGGGCTTGCCACCCCCTTTTTTCTCTGCTCATTTTGCAGCTGGACGTGAAAAATTCCAGGTGCTGCATGAGTCCTCCAGCCGCTTTCTGGGGTTTTGTCCTGCCGGAGGCTACAGACTGCAGCCCCAGAGGCGGCTCAAATCTGGGGATAACGTGGGAGGGCAATGGGGCAGTGATGAGCTACGCGTTACGGCTTTTCTTATCCACAGAACAGCACGTGCTTCCCCTTTGGCCCTGATTTGAGGTTGGTTTCGCAAGGGGGTGTTACAATTTCACTTCTTTTCCTGGTATAATGGAGAAAGTTTCTTGGTTGCCCCAAGACCGTACCCACGCCTGGACCCCTGCCGCAGCGTGGGAACAGCTCAGCCCTGCCCCCGCTGCCAGCTCCTGTCCCCCCAACCCCGTGAGCTGCTGTGGAGAGGTGATGTTCCAGCGCCGGGATGGAGAGTTGCACAGCGGGAATAAAGCATATATAATATAAATATATATTTATAAATAAATATAAATATACAGCTAGGCTGGAGTGGTCCACAGCTGGGATGGAGCGATGCATGGCCAGGATGTGATGTATGGCCAGGATGGAGCAATGTATGGCCGGGACGGAGCTATGTATGGCTGGGATGGAGCGATGCATGGCTGGGATGTGAGGTATGACCGGAATGGAGTGATGTATGGCTGGGATGGAGCGATGTATGGCCAGGATGGAGCAATGCACAGCTGGGATGTGATGTATGGCTGGAATGGAGCGATGTATGGCCAGGATGGAGCAATGCACAGCTGGGATGTGATGTATGGCTGGAATGGAGCGATGTATGGCCAGGATGGAGCAATGCACAGCTGGGATGTGATGTATGGCTGGAATGGAGTGATGTATGGCCAGGATGGAGCAATGCACAGCTGGGATGTGATGTATGCTTGGGATGGAGCAATGTATAGCCAGGATGGAGCGATGCATGGCTGGGATGGAGCGATGCATGGCCGGGATGTGATGCACAGCATGGATTAATTGATGCCTGGGATGGATGGATGGAGCAATGCCTCACTGGGATGGAGCGGTGCCCAGCCAGGTTGATGCACATTTGGTACGGAGGGATGGACGGTTGGGCTGGGAGCAGGATGGTGATGGGAGCAGCTGGGGATGGGAGTGCAATGGCAGTGGGGACAGGAGCACAACAGGGATGGGAATGTGATGGCAGTGGGGACAAGAGCACGATGGGGACAAGAGCACGATGGAGACAGGAGCACAATGGAGACGGGAGCATAGAATCACAGAATCATTAAGGCGCAGCCCCTTCCAGTGCCTGACAGCCCCAAGGGGAAGGAATTGTTCCCCATGGCCAACCTCACCCTGCCCTGGCACAACTTGAGGCCATGATGGTGACGGGGACAAGGAGCACAGTGGCAGTGGGGACAGGAACACAACACGCTCCCCCAGGCACCTGAAACACCCAGAGATAAAAATCTCCTTAATCTTAGAAGGAAATCTCCTGCCCCAATTTGTTATGTATTCCCGGAACACCCCAAGGGCATCTGCTCTGGTGCTCGGGTGGGTCCGTGCTGTGTCCCCCAGCACCAGGACACCCCGAAGAGCTGCAGCCGCTGTGCCCAGAGGACATGAGGGATGCGGCAGCCACACGTGCTGAGCACGTTGGTTCTCAGCCTCCTCTCAAAGCGGCAGTGAAATTTCTGGGAGCATTTCAAAGAAACGCCATGGGCTGGTTCACAATGTCCTCACACATCACCAGACCTGAAGCTGTGCCAGAAAATAAATTAAAAGCCCTCCCAGTGCCAAGACAACCTGTAGCCATATCTAAAAAGGGAGCACAGCAAGAAATCCAGTGGGAAACATCAAAAATATCTGGGAATAACAGAGACCTGTGAGTCCTGCTTATGCCTTTCAGCTTTTAAACCTGACCTCATCATCCTAATCCCACCAAAGCACTTTTTTCCCCAGACTGTAAAATAATCTCCTCTTCCAAAAGACACCCAAGTCCTTTGACGGCAGGACCCCAGCCTCTCTGCTCTCCAGGATCACGACGCTGGTGTTTTGCCCCATCGCTGCACAGAGATGAGAAAAAACACGTGCCAAGGGGGAAAAGGGGAGGAAATCCTTGAGGTTTCATGTTTCCAGCCCTGCTGCAGCCCTGGAGATGCGTGGCCAAGATTTAGGCTTTCTTTTATACCTTGGCAGTGAATTGGAAATGGTGAAAAACACGGAGGGATGGGGAGAGCCGTGACCGTGATCATAGAATCATAGAATCATAGAATGTTTTGGGTGGGAAGGGACCCCTAGAGCTCACCCAGCCCAACCCCCTGCAGGAGCAGGGACACCGCTAACCAGATCAGGTTGCTCACAGCCCCGGCCAACCTGGCCTGGAATGGTCCCAGGGATGGGGCCTCCACCACCTCTCTGGGCAACCTGTTCCAGTGTTTCACCACCCTCATTGTAAAGAATTTCTTCCTTATATCTAGTCTAAACCTCCCCTGGTTTAGTTTAAAGCCATCCCCCCTTGTCCTGACACAGCTGGCCCTACTAAAAAGCTCTTGCTTCCAAGCGAGGAGATCTGCAGTACCTCCAAGCCTCTCCCCTCTCTTACTTGCTTTTTTTTATTGAAGCAGACTGATAAAATTCCCTGGATCTGGGCACTGCTGGCGAGTTGCACGCAGATTAAAAATAACATATGTCTTCTGTTTTCCTGTTTAATTCCAGGAAAGATTCTCCCAGGAGGGCCAAAAGCATCTCTGCGTTTGTCTCCGCTCCCTTTGAGCTTTGCCGGTTGAGTCCCAAGCGCTGGAAGACTCATCGTATCGGTAGCCAACCTCCAAAATGAGTCACGGTGCCACGTACCAGCCTTCTTGGCAAAATACCTCTGGCTGCCGAATTTGCACCCAAATTTCATGCATCCTGCTGATATTAAATCTCCAGGTTGAAACGCTTGCACAACATTCGGGTGGGTTTGGGGTTTTTTTTTTATTTGGATGATTAATTCATGTTTCCACTTGGCTTTTTGGCATTCTCTGCCAGTGATCTCAAATGACACCGGTGAGGGTGAGCTCATTCCGGCGTGTCAGGAATCCTGCAGACTGGGAATCCACACTGGAAAAACTTTATTATTTTTTTATATATATAAACCAAAAAAAAATTAGTTTTCTTATGATCAGCAAAAGGGCCGGAGCGGGACTAGTTTTCTGTGAACTGTTTAAAAACCGTAAGCCAAAAAAATAGTGGAGAAAAGAGATATTTCAGAAGCCTGCGCCCAAGACTGGAGTCTTCACAAGAAATGCCAAAATCCCAGAAAAAAATTAAAACTTTTCTCATTCCACTGAAGAACATTCACCATCGATTGGTTGTGCCAGGGATGGAAAGCAGGAGAGGATGTGATGCCCAGCATGAGCAGCCAGTACCAGAGGGCTGATCCAGCAGCCGAATTAAAAGCAGTAAATATTATTCCTGTTCTCTAACATCCCAGATAACCACGTTTTCTGCCCCAAACGATGGTCCTGATTGCATCACCGCTACCAGGAACATTATCTGCAGGTCTGGGGCTGGGCCGTTGGAGGGGTATCACCTTCAGGAAAAGCTATTTTCAGCCTGTTTCTAAATACATCTGCTTTATTTTTGCTGCTGGAGTAATTTTATAGCCCTCGCTGGACTTGCCAGCTCCCCAGAAATAGGAATAAATTCATTTTCTAGGGCATTGCAGCTTCATCAGCAGACAGGAGCTTGGAGAAGGGAGAGAGCTAAAGCTGTCCCGAACCTCTGCAATCCCTTCCAGCCTTATTTCCCGTGCTTCCATGCAAACCCTTCACACTTTTCAGTTAATTAAATATTTCCTGATGGCCTTGCCACCATCGCCACCAGCAGCTTCCCCGGGCTGTCCGCGTCGCCAGCTCCTCCACCATCTGTGCTAAGCCACGACAATGATTTTTCCTTAAGTTGCTTTTGGAGAGGCAAGACACGATGTGACATTCCCGGTCCTGTGACAATTATCAGCTGTGGATAAGTCACAGTCCCATGGAAAACCCACAGACCCCACCCGGAATGAAATCCTGCGGTGATGCAGCTTCCATGGGTCCATCCCACAGACCCTAAAAATCGCCCTCAGCCTCCCTGGATGCTGGTCAGGAGGGGGTGTGGGCACCCGGGCAGGGAGATGGGCACCCAGGGGGGTGCAAGGGGAAAGTGGGGTGCAATCTGGGCACCCAGGGGTGCAGCGTGAGTGCCCTGACGGGAGCCTGGGCACCCAGGGGTGCAGCCTGGGCAGTCCAGGGGGTACAGTGGGTGCCCCAAGGGGGAGCCTGGGCACCCAGGGGTACAGCCTGGGCGGTCCGGGGGGTTGCATTAGGGCACCTGGAGAGAGGTGTGGGCAAGCAGGGAGCGGCGTGGGCACCCTGGGGAGCAGTGCAGGTATCCCGGGAGGGAGCCTGGGCACCCGGGGGTGCAGCCTGGGCACCCTGGGGAGCAGTGTGGGTGCCCTGACGGGAGCCTGGGCACCCAGGAGTGCAAACTGGGCAGCCCAGGGGGGACCGTGGGTGCTCCGGGGTGCAGCATGGGTGCCCCGGGGACAAGCCTGGGCTCCGGGGGGTGCAGCCTGAGCACCTGGGGGTGCAGCCTGGGCGTCCCGGGCATGAGCCTGGGCACCCGGGGGTGCAGCGGGGATGCCTCGAGGTGCAGCGTGGGTTGCCGGGGGTGCAGCGTGGGTGCCTGGGGAGGAAGCCTGGCACCCCAGGGTGCAGAGCGGGCGCCTCAGGGGATTGCATGGGGCCACCTAGAGAG